CAGCAATTAATATGCAGTAAGTGCTAAATACAGATTGTTGATTGAGCTCTATAATAATGATAGATTTTTTTGTGTCTACTCTGTGCCAGTCTCATTATACACTTTCATGTGAAGCAAATATTTCTATCCTTATTTGGATCAGGAAACAAAATCACATAAAAATGTGACAATTCAGTCGTGGGTCTGCCTGGTTGCAAAGCCTGCACTTTTTCCTCTATTCCCCACTGTCTCACAGACTGTTTCCCCAGTGGTTAATTTTTATGTCCAGCCACAGATTGAGGAGAAAATAGAGCGAAGAGAATAGACAAGAGAAGACAAAGTTTGCTTTGCCTAGGAAACTGTTTTTCCTTTTCAACATGGTATATGGTTTTGCTTTTGTAATTAACATTCTGCTGATGAGCAACTCCCATTGGTGAAGGCTGAGGAGCCAGATTCGCCATGAAGAGCAAGCACTGCAGGAAATAAATTAATCTCTAGGGAAGACGAGGGGCAAGGCTGTCAGTACTCACACAACTGCCTAATAGAAAATGATATTTCAGAATTGTTCAAAGAATGAAATGACTGTGGGTTCTCCTTCCAGCATATTCTTAAACATTTAAACCTTCTGAGAAGAGGGAAATAGTTTGCTATAAAATGAAGAGCAATCTTATAACATTTTACTTCAGGCTGTTCAGGAGTTCCAAACTGAGACAGTATTTTCCGTAAATGGAAGGGAAATGCTACTAGTGCCATTATTTTGTTTGTATTATGAAAACGCTGCATTGATGTTAAATATAAGAATAAAAAATATGCTAGATTTTGTGATCACCAGTTTGAAATTATCCAATATTTTAAATAAGAGATTTCTGGTCTTTGGAATAGAAGTAATTATTACATTTAAAATTGTACACTACTCAGAATAAACACAAATTGCTGAAGTGTTTCTTTTTATTAAAATTGAGAGACAAGGCTCTATTTTATGCTATCTAAAGTACCTACCTCCTCATAGCATAGATTCAGTCATTCATTCAGGGTCTTTAATATAGAACCCTCACGTTGTCTAATTCTCAAGATCATCCTGATAAGGAACGGCCTTTGTTTCGTTTGCCATCATAGAAGTACAATCTGAAGTTTAACATTTACATTAATGTTAAATTCAATATAAAAATTTCTTTATTTTCCTACAGATGCATTCTTTATTTCTAGCTTCCCCCCTTGGCCTCAGTGAAGAGTTTTTCCAGGGAGCTCTGTCCTCTCATTTGTTTAATTCACCACAATAAGTGTGTTCTTAGATGTGGGGGTCATTTCCTGCAAGTCCCACTTAGAGATGAGCAACAGTTGCATCACTGGATGTTATCAGAATAGGCCATAGAGTCAAGACTTTCAGAATGGACAGGACATAAAAATCACCTGGCACACCTCCTCTTTTGGTGAGGAAAGTATAATGCAGAAAAGTGAAATATCTTGTGGAACTCTAAGTGTCTAGTTTGTGCAGCGCTGGGACTAGGCCTTAGGGTATGTGTGTTTATCTTTCTCACCTAGCGCTCTCACCACTTCACAGTCTAATTTATGGAGGATGAGTCATGAGTTTAGCATAAAGGTGTAGAATAATTATAAGAACGTAGTTGAAGCTTCAAAAGAAAGGAAATTCCGTTAGAGAGTGTTGATTAGGAGAGTATAAAAGTTGTTCAGTAGAGAACATTTATGTAGGGCAAAACCAAGTAGGCGTATTTTAAAAGGTTATCCTTTCTGGCAAAGATTGCAGTTTCTAGGAGACAGGTGAGGAGCGGGGAAACAGCCTCCTGTTTAGCCAATCAGATAACCAGAAGCAATCACTGCAATTAGTGAGTGACCTACATGATAACCACACCCTTCTCACAGCTGAATGATACTCCTCAGACACCAAAAGCCTGCCCTTGGCTGAAGGAGGCCAGCTTACCTACAGCCATGCCTCTTTCTCAGGGCCATCTGCACCCAATGATGGGTTGATTCAGGGGCTAGGGAGGCCTGGCCCCCTCACCCCAATAGAGGACAACTCTGCTTTTGATTCTCTGCCTTAGGTGCTGTTCCTGAGAACACTTCTCAATAAACTTCACATGCAAGTCTACCTTGGGAATGGGACATGCAACAAATTGCTTAAAACAAACGTTGGCTCTTAACACATAGCACCTACCGTGAAGAACCCTTAAACTTATTAAAAAGCAGAGTGTCATGCTTTTCCCACTGAAGGGATAAGATGAGAAAGGGATTCGTTCATTAGTGATAGATCAGCGCTTCCTTGTCTCTGCACAATTACAGCATTTTGCGGAATCAGAAGAATCAGTGACTCATCTCCAAAGAAGATTTCTAATCACTTCCCATGTCCACAGTATTCAGAGAGGTCATGAAATTCCCAATTGGATACAGTTTGCAAAGAAAAAAAGAACAGGCAGAAACTCAAAGTCTGCAAGAGCCACATGAGGTGGTCATAACCAGCACTTTGCAAAACATACTGTTAGGAAGCAGTTTTCCTTAGCAATCAACTCATAAAAATGCTGAAGTTAATTATAATAGCTATGGTTCAATCGGAGTTTATTATGCATTATACCAACTTTAACCTATTTTATCTAATGTAGTTTTTGAAAGAGCCTACGGGGTAGTGTTATTATTAACCCAGTTTTACAAATAAAGAGATAGAGACATTAACAAATTGCTTGTGGTACACAGCTAGCGAGTGGGACAGACAACATTTAATCCCAGAAGTCTGAGTTCAGACTCCAAAGGTTAACCACTTAATCATCCTACTTTCAGGGAACTGTTCTTTTAGTAATTTATGAACAAAACAACCTGCCAACCTCTTAACAATGTTTCTAAAATAAAACGTGAGCATCACCAGGCGACCAGAGTGAGTGAAGGCCCAGAGAAGAAGGTAATCCCTGAGATTGGGGGAACCCTTTTCATCGGCACCCTCAGGGCAGGGAGCGCAGCCTGGCCCTGAGGTATAGTTTACTGTTCTCCTGGCTGCAGCATCGTAAACTCTCGCTAACACAAAGATGCATTCACATTGAAACTTCCAGGTGTTTACAGCCAATTCCAAAATAAAGAATTCCCTTCAGTGTAATTGTTAGGTACATATTTGAAGTGCTTCCACTTCATCTAATGGAAAGAAAGAGATCTGGGTGTCCAGCAGGAACAAAACTCGAGAAACAGCAACCCTGCCTTAATAAGGCTTTTGTCTGCAATATGCTACAAAGACTCTAGGAAAACTGCCCCTCTCACCTGAGGAGAGTTTAGAAAGTGGCTGCCTTATGCCTAAGTATTAAAAAGAAGGGAAAGCTCAGAAAGGGTATCATTTGCCCACCTGAACTCCAAGGTGGTGACTGAATATTCAGAGATGAGCTATTCATTCCACATCTGGTAAATGTTCCGTAGAGAGCCAATGAGTCCTTCCCCCTCACCCCAAGTAAGGAAATATATACTACATCACACAAGACAAATGGAATTTGAAGAATTATATTTGTGCTTTACGTAGCTTTTGTGTTCTTACATGTGGAATTGCCCTACGACTCTAATTCATAATGGAGAGAGAATCTGTAATTTAGTATAATTACAAATGGGAAAGCAAAGGAAAGTATTGCTCAGATGAGCATACTAAATAATATCTGGGGGAAAAAGTGCATGTTGAAATTACCTAAGCTAAGATTTCACTTCACTTTCTGGAATAGAGTTAGGAAATCTCACTTGCCTAAAATCTCTACTTTAATTCAAGGACCTCTTTTTCCTCAAACCGTCACTTAAACCACACAATATATTCAAAGCAGGTGTTCCCCTGGTCTGTAACATACTCTGCACTATTCGTTCAGGGTGCAAAGTGGGGCTGCCATGTGCCATCCCAGGAAGAGGCCCACACAGGGATAGGTCTGATAACAACCTTTCCTGTAATTGAAACAGAAGCTTTGATATTAGGAATTGTGTTATCTGGTATTTTTTTAGTATCCATAGTCTTAGGAAAAAATAGTTTCCAGTAAATTAATAATGGCTTGAGACTCAACACGCTGCAGCAATTTTCACTGCAGTAGTTGTTTCTTTTATAGTCACACTTGGTTAGCATTTGAAATTTGGAGGAATAGCAATATGCATGTTTTCAAAGCCCTTTACATAGTTTCATTTTTATCATTCAAAGAGAGTCAATGAAAAGGTAATAAGAAAAGCTCTATGGGATATTTTTATAGGAGTGTCAGAAGCCAGTAAGCTAACTACATGAAAGAACACAGATTGTACAAACAGAGTTTCAGCAGCAACACTTCAGAGACTTTGTATCTAGTATTGTGACTTTTACATGCCCTTGGAGGAAAAAATGAGGCTAGCTACAAAACCTGATAAGGAGGGGTAAGAAGCAAACCATATGCTTAAGAATAATTACAATTTCATTTTTTCCTACCAACTAAAATATAAAGTTTCAAAGATAAAGTGTAATAGATATGGAGCTGCTTTGATGTGTCTAAAATATTTCCCTTGTTAACTTATCCCAGATTTCTACAATATGGAAGTTAGTCTGGGTGGCTTAATTGAATGCTATCAACTTCTCCACAAGTCTATTGGATCCTGTTTTGCTTTTAGTAGAAATGAAAACTATCATATCGCTTCTCCAGAAACTAAGCTATCGTTATTCAAGTCTGCATTAGATTACTAATCTGACTCTTCTTCAACAGAAACATCTCAATTATATTAACTTCTTCTCAAGCCATTAATCCTTCTTGTTAATTCTAGCAAAAATTAAAAAATAAAATTTTCACAATAATACAAGGAGTCTTAAGTTTCTTGGCCATGAAAACTGTGAAAAAAAACTAATAAAAAACAATGAAGAGACCTATCATTAGCTTGGGTGTTTAGTATTATGCTGCACCTAAAACTATATTCCAGTGAGATTTGCAGGTCAGGCAGTCACTTTGATTGGGTTATAAATTCTGCCCCCCCCACCCAAAAAAATAGTAAGTTATCTGTATGCTGTGTATTTGCCCCATAGGTGTGGCTTAACTGACCTGTGGTGGCATCGGTGCTTGCTACTGCAGTGCCTCGCTCTTACTTTTCTCTTTCTCCAGATCAGCCAAGGCATTTTGACAACCAGCTGGCACTTTTGAATCCTGGCCAGCTTGACTGGAGTGCAGTTTCTTGGATATGTCTACATGAAGACTCTGAAATGAGACAGGCCAGAGTGATTGATATTACAAGTAAATTATCGGTCCAAAATAAATGCTTCTCAGAGATATGACAAGGATAAACATTTATCATATGGCAAGTTATTTCTTATACCTGAAACAGAACATTCTACATGTCACATGGAGTTACAAATTATATTTTCATCAATATATTTTAATCTAGGAGGGGAATTTTTGTGGCAATCTAGGTAACTAGAATAAGAAGTCATCTCAGACAGAGAAAATCATCTCCAAAGGCCATTTGTATATATTACTTTCTTCTTGTGAATCTTACAGAATATTCTTCATTTAGAACATTTTTACTCAGTTTTTATTTCTATAGTAAATAATCCTGCATTTCATTATATATTTCATGATTACATACCAAATAATGAAGAGACTTCATTTCTATGTTATTGTCATTCTTTATATAAAACAAATCATAACATCAGCCTAAAAATAAATCATACTTGTTCCAGTATTATACAAACATGACAAAGCTCCTACAGTCATTTAAGAATAATAATTCATCATAACCATGAATTATTTAAGCATAGCATCAATAGGACCTAAAACTCATCTCACATATAAGAAATGTCATATGGTCTTTGATGTCGTACTGGTATAGTGTATGTTTCAAAAGAATCACCAGATAGGAGGAAAAGTTAAAATCCTAAATAAGAAATTGAACTTTCAGCATTATGCTTCATACCCAACTTCAGGCTAAAAGTTTTTCAGTTTGAATATGACTACAAAATGTTCAAAAATTCATAAAGTTAAAATTAGCTATTTTTGGCTATCTACATAGCCCTTTTGATTCACAAAAGCATAGCAGAATGAACAACTGTCCTTAAGTCCCTCCTATAGATTGTATATAGTATTAAATTCATTAAACACTTGAATCAAAGGCTTTAAAACTTAGAAGGAACCAATAAGAAAATTAGGGCCCAGCATGATTCAATGAATCATTAACAAAATGAACAGTGCTGATCTTTGGGGATCTGTCTCCTGAGCCTTGGTCAGGTGCTCCTCATACCATCCTATGATCCATTTGTTCATATAATTGCTCAATGTGGTGGGCTCCTTGCCCCTATGGCTCCAGTTCTTTACCCTCCCCTGTATCCATGTCCTATCTATATAATTTTTCAGTACCCTCCTACTCTGACTTTTCACTTGTCCATGTGATTCCAGACCAACAGAATATTGGCACATGTAACAGGCAGGGACTTGAAAGATGCTTGCACAATTGGTTTTGCTCATTCTCATCCTTCCACTATGTCATGAGAACATGCCTAGACCAGGCTGCTGGATGTTGACCAGGACAGAGAGCGGGTTCAGGTTATTCCAGTCATTAAGTGGAGACAACTAACAGCCAGCAGAGCCCTAGACATTTGGGCAGACCGAGCCTAGATTAGCTGAAAATAACTCAGGTCAGCTAAACCCCACAGCCTCAATAACTACACAAATGTTTTTGGATGTGTACTATTAAGTTCCTCTGGCAAATAGGCAGTATTGTGTGATAGACAGATAATGGGCGCATCAACAACCATGTACCTCTGTGATCCCAGGCGCTGGATGCAGTGGGAGATGCAAATACAGACACCGTGGAATCCCAGGCTCTACACTGTTGAAACACTTTCTTAAATTGTTTAAGCAGAGTATTAAAATACAGTGTGGTACATCACTTGCAAGTAATTCTCAAATTCCTTTTCTAATGACAAAGGATGGGAGCCTGGTGACACTTTCAGTGACAACTGAGATCAGAGTTAGATTGTTGGTGTTAACTAGAACTAAACCACCATGTTCGTTTATATTTGACTCATCCATGGCCCACAGAAACATAAATCCATTACTCACTACGAATTTTTAACTTCATTGTCAGGTGTGTATTACTAGCTATGAAAAGAAACAGATTTAACCAGCATCTAAGTACTTTATTGATTTTTGAATCAGATACCTTTGGAAAATATATTAAGTTATCAGGTGAGGATTACAGTTTCTCCGTACTGAGCAATACAAGAGACCAAAGAAGGAAATTAGCTTCTTGCTTTGATACCAAATTCAATGGATAAACTTAAGGCATTGAGGGGGAAAATGTAAGAAGTCCATGTAAATTATGTGTTATTTATAACATATCCTAGACCTCAAAGGCATGATGCTGAATTGAAATAAAATCCTTAAACCTGAAACCTAAAGGCTTAAGGTTTGAAAGGCTGGAGGAAGAAAATGACTGCTTGACCAGAATGAGTCAAGTATTTTAAAGGTCTGGTTGGTGCTTCTTGATGCAAATCTCTGGCAGATTGTACATTTTATAAACATATTAGCATTTAAATAGTTAAAAGCCCCACTTTACAGAAGACAGTCCCCACACTGGGGTCTCGTCCAGTCAAGCCTGGTCAGGTTTTCCTGTCTCTTCTCTGTTTTGCTATCACAGCCAGGCTCTTGTTTGCTGCTCTCAGTGTAAGGAGAGGTAGACATATCTTAAGCTACAGAATCTGCCACAGCCTCTCAGCCTTGCTTACTTAGCGTTCCCTCCAGTTCCCTGAGTCTCCAAATCAGGCTCAAATACTGATTTTCTGTTACAATAAAGCTCCCACACAGCTCTGTTTTTCACTGTCCAGTTGGATTCCTTTAAGCCTTAATCATTCTCTCTCTGTCTTTCTCTTCCTCTCCCCCACCCACTTCTTATCTCTCACAGTCTTCCGCTGTGCTTCCATAACTTTGCTTCATGGTTTGCAAATTGTACTATGTACTCAACTTCCTTTCAGAACATTATCTCTACCTTCCTAGAATTTCGTTGTCCACTGAGGACAGCACTCTGGAAATGAAAGATGGCTGCTTCTTCCTCCACAACCTAAATACACTCAGGTTAACGATACTCTTGCCTAAAGTGCTATCTATTGCATTAATACCTCTGGGCAAAGTCACAGCTGCTCTGATACTTTTGTCATCTAACTGTGCACTGCGTCCCTTCTTGTTGGTACTGTCTACCTACTAACTTCTAGTAGAAATCTATCCTTCATTTAAAGACTCGATTATTGTTTTTCCTTCTGGCCTCTTGATCTTGGATCACCCTATTTAATACCTTTTCTTTCCCATAGTCACACCTGAAGCCTGTCATAACCAGAATCTTTTCCACTTCCAAAATCACTAAATGTCTTTCCCTCTCATCTGATCTTTTGTCCTCAAGTTAATGGTTTCCACTCCAGCCAATCTTACCTTCAAGACTGTTTTGTTGTTGTTGTTGTTGTTGTTGTTGTTTTTTAACCAGGACTATTCTTGGACCTCACTGGGTCCTGAGATGCACTGACATCTCTACTTTGTCTACATCCACCAGCTCTCTAGGCTCTTTTCCCTTTCTTCTCTACGCAGCATCCATCCTAGTTCTAAAACTAGATGTTAGAGTTCACCTTTGTCACCCCTCTGCAGCACGCAATGCCTTGTCACCCACTCCCTTTCCTGGCTCTGCTGCCCCTCCCACCACTCTGACTGCTCATTCTTACTCTCTTTTGCCGGTATAAACATGGACTGTTAAGTGTTTCTCAAGGTTTTGTTAATGATCTAGTTTTGTTTAACCGTCCCCAGATAATTCCAGAAATTACATGCCTTAATTTGCCATCTGTATGTTTATGACTCAAGGGAGGGACCAGATCTATGAAAGAAAATGAGGCAGGAGCTTGCATAACATGATAAGCACTTGGGGCTCCAGTTCTCACGTCTTTTAGTTCTACAATCCCACCCTTCTTCCTTCCTGACTTAAGGCTTGGCTATTTTGCTTACCTGGAACAGTGATTTTCAACTTTTTTCATCTCACGGTACACATAAACTATTACTTAAATTTCTGTAGCACACCAGAAATATATATTTTTTTGCAGATCTAACAAAAAATAGGTATAATTTTAACTCATTCTCACCAGACGGCAGTGGTTGTTTTGGCTGATGTCATTTTTTATTTGACAATCTAAAAGAAAAGCAGTCAGTGACTCTGACTAGTCAGGTACTGCATATTTTAAAAATTCTTGTAGCACACCAGTGTGCCATGGCACACCTGTTGAAAATCGCCAACTTAGAACCTTATCACAAACTCTTTCTCCTTAATTTTACTAACTCTTTAGTTCCTTCAAGTTTTCTCCCCTCATGTAGACTTTAGCAGCATCTTTGTTTTCTAGTCTTTAAGCACGTTGTACTTGCACTGCAAAGCAGTTTTCACAAATACAATAAAATAATACCTGGTTTAATGTTTACATCTGTTTCTCTGGTGAAAAATATAAACCAACTAGAATAAGGACTATAACTGTCCTATTCACTCTTCTCAGTCTTTCTCTCAGTGTTTTAAATATAGTAGATATCAAATAACTACATATTAAATAAATTGAGAAATGCGTGAAAAAAATACAGACTTAATTTTTACAACTTATATTCACATGTTCATATGTTATGAGTGTTATCCAGACAGTCCTAACAGTAATTCTTATTATATAGCTGAACGGCACATATACAGAGCCCGGCACAAATAAGGACCCTTTTTCTATCACAAAATCATAAGCACATAATTCTGTAACATAACATTATCCCACTCAAACACACCATATGACATTGTAAGTAAAATTTTCAAATTAAAACTATAAATTAATACACCTATATTATTACCCTACCACCCACCCTCAAGCGGGCCTTACTTCTGCCAGGCCCTGTATTTTACCTTACTTTATCCATAAAAATGCATATTGCATGCCTTGTGTTTTTACATAAACTCGATACAGTTATTGCAAATACTACACTTAGACAATATTCCATACATTTCTTTGGCTTGCGTGAGAACCAAAGAATGGCTCCGTAAGGGAGAGGGTGGCCCTAAGGGCTGAGTGTATGTATTCAGCGGCCCCCTGTGCCCGAGGCACATGAGTGTGGCACATGAATGAAAGAAAGAAAATCCCCTGTCAGGCTCTGCCGCGGTGATGTCAAGCCTTCAACCTGAAGATCAGCTCCAGAGGAAA